ATTGAGCGTAATCGAATAGCAATGCCAGTAAATAATCGTATTGTCAATGTTCAAGAGCGATTTACAAATTGAATTAATGTCCAGTTGACGATTTCATTAATGATTTAATAATAGTGATAATAACAATAGTAACAATAATAATGAATGATAATGAATAAAGGTTAAAATTTAAAAAATTGAGGTGTTACGTAAACGAAATCATCCGGCCATATTGAATGCGGAGTTGTGTTTCAATGAAGCGAANAATCCCTCCCTCAGGTTTGAGCTTTATTATTTTTATTGTTTCATCACTTTATTGTTATTGTATGTAATATTTTTGTGGCAATAAACGAAATAAAGGTGAAAAGAATTGCAGTAACATAAATAAACTGTACCATTACTTCGTTCGCATCGAACCCAACCCGAGCAGCATATCGCGTCGATGCACGGCCATTAATTACGATGGCAAATCGTTTCAATTCGAAGGTTTCTCGGTGTTCTTCCATCGACCTTTGCCCACTCTCTTGCCTCAAACACCGATATCGCGTTTCACAAATGATTATCAATTCAAATTCATCACCGAACAACATCCACCCGAGGTTTGTTAATTATTATTGTTGTTTTTATTATTATTATTGCTGTTGTCTTCATTATTATAGTTGTTATTTTGCAGTGTTTTGTGATCATTTTATAGTGTTAAATATATTTTAATACGATGTAAGTGAGAATTCTAAATGAAATGTGTTTAAATTAAGAATTTTACTGTGTGCGATTTGGAATTATTTCACAAATATTTATTCGATGAAATAATGGAAATGTTCGATCTGAAGCGGTTCGCTTTCGAGGAGACGTCTGGATGTCCTTACTATCATTGCATGCCGCGATTCGTCAGACCTTTGCCAGGTTTATATCTCAATATTATTTATAGTATTGTCATTATTATTATTAATTATAATTAATGCTTGTAAATTGGTCAATAATATCGTATGCGATGACGAATTGATAAAAATATTATTATGCATATAGTAACTTATACTTATGTAAAAACAGATAACGGTAAAGAGCTGCTGCCAATGTCGGTGGTATTGGATTATGTGCTGGAGAATTATAAGCCTTTGGTAGGGGATGATAAAGAAGCGGAGAAGTTGAAGGATGACACTGGTGATGCGTTCCGGGAGTTTGCTGATAGCAATCGGGGAATGTTGATGATTAACGCGAATAAGGTGAGTTTTACTTATTCTATTATTATTATCA